GGGAAGCAGAGAGATCCTGGGAATGAGAGTTGGGTTTTTCCATTTTGCCGCATTTTGAGCTACATTTTAATACTTGGAAAATTGTAACAAAAAGGACATTTTATATTTTCTTGTCTGGGACAAGGTAACCAGTGTTAGAGGGATCTGGTTTATCTGGGTGCCCTGTGTCGTAAACAAGGAAATATTGTGACGTCATATATCTCTTCAAAACGAGTCTCGGGGTTCCTTCCCTTGTTGGAATTAAGTCGCCATATTGATTCGTGGTTTCCTACGATTTTAGTGTGTTGTGTTCGTTCGAGAGAGGAAGAAAACGTAACAGTTACGACGAAAATATTTGGAAAGCTTTGAGGCTTTCCTTAGAAGCCCGTAATGGCGTCAAATCAACGTTACGAACCGGTGGGTGAATCGTTTGTTCACTTATGCTTCATGTTGTTCGTTTATAATAGAAACTAATTTAGCTTCGATTTTACCTTTTTATCAAGTTCTGAAGCTTATCTTTTGTAGGTTTTATTGGGATCTTGAAAGGCATCATAGACTGATTTAGTTTCCTTTAATTCAAAGCTTGTTCTTAATGATAAACGCGGTATTTTTATTTGTCTTGGTGTTTTTTTGCGTTTATAAACAATATTTGTGCATACGTAAATGTTGCTTCGTCGATATATGACTTATTTAATAAGCTAATTAAGCTTGAGTTTACCACCCGTAAAATCTAAATCTCACTATTTTATTTAAAGAACGGGATCACGTTTTCTAAAACCTTGTAAATTCATGGTGAACTTTGTCACAAGAGATTGTTAATGTACGGCTGTACAGTAAGATCAGATATCAGGATAAATTAGGGGTATTATATTACTGTGACATACATTTACGATATCATTTTATATTGGCTCGACTGGCAAGAGCAATGTTTAATTTACATTAGGTATGTCAATGGTGAGACTGTAGATTATAGTTACTCTTTCAATGGAACATATAATGTGCACTTTGTGGAACTTAACAGGCGGCAGCCCTGGCAAAACATACTTTAGTAGCTGGCAATTTTTCCTAGTACCATAACTTTACCTGCTGCCTGCTTCATACTGGTGTTCTTTAATCCTGACCTGCCTGCGTCTACAAAACACCTGGCGTGCCTCGCTGTTCAACTGAGATTAGTCTGTAAACAAATGTTATACCCTATATTTCAACACACATTACTCCTTATTCACACTGGGACTCGTAGCATGCTTCTTTGCATTTTGGTCATAACCCTATGGGGGCAATTAAAATTATATTTGTAACTTGGGTACATGTATTGATGGTGGAAAACTGGAGTTCATTTGGTAAAAAGCTTGTGTCATTATGATAAAAAGTGTTTATATTAGCTACAGTAAACAGTACTGACATATGCAGTTTATTTTCTTAACTTGACTCAAAAAAAAATAGGCACTTTATCTAATCAGAAATCTACTGTCATGGTTAGTGTTTATTTAAGTTGTGCTTAGGTCTGATACTTTTGTTTAAATGTGGCTAAATGTTATTTAGGCTAAGTTAAATGCGAAACAAGATTGCTGGCCAGCAGTGTCCATTGGAGCTAGTCCGGGGTGGCCCTGGGGATTTGTGTGGGGGCGCCTGTATTTTACAGTTCGGCCTCGGATGTCAAATCATTCCGCATGTTTTTTGCTGCTGGACAGTTCTCGTTAGTTTTGTTTGCTCTCTGGCTCCACTATCCTTTCAGGCACCATTCCCTAAGCTCATCGTTTGTTGATGAGTTTAACAAGATAACAGTGGTATGGCCAGGTTTGTTAAAAATAGCGTGTTGCCCGTGAAAATCAGTGTCTACTTTATGATTTCAGCTGGCTGCTCTGCTTGATCATTCTTCTAATTCTAATGATTATTAAGAAAAGTTGGCAAAATCAGCTGCCTACTGCAACAAAATTACTGCCTGGTTTTATTTTTAACTTCTGTACTAGACCATCAGTTATGAAGAAATAGTCAGCCTTTAGTGCGTTAACTGAAAATGTGTTAGTAATATATTTTACTGTACTTCAGAAAGCTAAAT